GAGAGAGAGGGGGTAATTGAAGAAGAGAGTCCACACATTCAATTGTGGAACAAAAATCTGCATCCTTTACCTCAGTGAACATGGTTAAGATAAAACAAGGACTTTGTTCCTCAGTGTCCAAAATTATTATAGTTTATGGCCCAGCACATAGTTTTGCTAGTTTTTCCACTCCTTTTGCTAAAAAGGTAAGATGCTCTGTTAATATTAACATCAATATTTGTTATTTTATCAACAGAAATTGAATTACTTACAAAAGACATGTGTAATTGCAGTGGCAGCCTGCAGTGCTCTTCCTCTTTTCCCATACACATTCACAACACATTTCATCTTGTCCAAACAGGGGTAAAACTCTGCTAAACTAGAACTTTGTGCTTTGACAAAAACTCAAAATATAATAGAACTTCTCCTTTAGAAGCTTTGCAGAATTCAAATCTTTGGCAAGAAAGACTTTTGTCTGAAAAGATCCATCTAGTTAGAATTTCAAAACGGAGAAAGTAAAACTGGGAAATCTTGGATAAAAAAAACAAAAAAAACACTGCTTTGAAGATAGGCATTTATTCAGGATATGGTGTCCATATTTGACAAGCCAGCAAGGTATAGATGTTGAAACAAAGCTGTTTATAAGCTGATATTTTGATATTTTCAAGAACAGAATAACCATTTAGAAAATGTAAATTTTAAAAGTATGTACATTTTTAAAATTGATGTCTGTTTTACTTTGTTTCATCAATTCAGAATAATTAAATCTGCATTTTGATTGCTCCTTCAAATCTGCTCCTTCAAATCTGCATAGATGCTCTGCTATTAGACATATACAACACAGTTGCATTGTTTAAGAATATGTTTGCTGTGCCCACAACGAAAAAAAGTATTCATGGAATGATACCCTTTCTTCACAAGTTCAGATGAAAACTAAAAACTTTTAAAATGGACTCTGACCAATCAATTTTTCCTACATGAAGGTTGAGTGTTCAGTAATCTAGATAGAGAACCTAGGAATGTCTCCATGGGTATGTTTATTGTTAATAAAACTATCTAATTGCGTCTTGCTTTGCTCAGGCTCGCAGGAACCGCGAGATTGCAATCCTGCAGAGGAAGATTGATGAGGTGCCTAGCCGGGCTGAGCTGACACAGTACCAAAAAAGATTTATTGAACTCTACAGCCAAGGTGGAATTCTCTTCTACATCTGATATAGCTTCAGGTGGGGTTTCTTTATGTCTTTAAATACCCTTCCTAAATCTTTTCCTCCAGTTTCTGCTACACACAAGGAGACCAAGCAGTTCTTCACACTGTATAACACCTTAGATGATAAAAAGGTCTATCTTGAGAAGGAGGTAGGTAATCACAGCAGTCACCAAAATTATAACTTGATTTAAATCTGAATGTTTTAGTTGTAGCAATAAATGAACATGTTCCAAACAATCTTGACGAAGAAGAATTTTATTTGTTTAGGTTAATCTGCTGAATTCAATCCATGACAACTTTCAACAGTAAGTAACATGTCTGTAAACAAAATGATAATGTACAGTCTTAGTATGGAGCTGTGTTTTCTCATCACTGTAGCCATTATGTTTCTGGTTTTCTGTTGCAAATGAGTTCTTAGCAGCTTTTCCATGTTCCAGAGCTATGTCATCTGCCGCAGCCAAAGACCAGTTTCTTAGACAGATGGAGCAGATAGTGGAGGGTATCAAACAGAGTCGCATGAAGGTAAAATTGTTGCTGTAACTGCGTGGCAGGTTTCTCAACACATTATCTTCAGTTTGCCCGTCTTCATTTTCAGATGGAAAAAAAGAAGCAGGAAAACAAAATGAGAAGAGATCAGTTGAATGATGAGTACCTGGAGCTGCTCGACAAGCAGAGACTTTACTTTAAAACTGTCAAAGATTTTAAAGAGGTAAGAGGCTTTTTTTTAAATTAAAGTAAATCTCACATTAACCATAAGAGAGAACATTTGAATCCAGCAGAGAGGCATTGCTAGAATAGCACAGATTTACTCAATGTAGCTCAAGCCTCTAGCTTAACCCAATTACTACCAAACCAAAGTCCTCCAAAGAACTTGCTGCTTTTTAATGTATTTATTCCTAAAATGAATGTGAATAACGGGAAATGTAGTTGAGACTTTCTCGATAAATTACAGAATGTTTAATAAGGCTTAAAGATTTAGGTATTTCTGCAGGTGAAACAAATTAAAAGAATGCACTTGTCAAGTCGTTTTGTTGGTCTACTTTTCTAATAAAGCTTTCAGTATGATTAAATATTTTTTTCTATTACCAGGAGTGCCGCAAAAATGAGATGCTGCTGTCTAAGCTGAGGGCTAAAGGAGCCTCCTAACTCAACTCACCTGGCTCTGGATTCTGTTTAGCCAGCCTGAACAGGAACTGAATACACGTGGGATCGTTATCAGGGTTATTTTGGACAAAGACACAGCTCCAACCTCAGCCTCAACGGGGGCCTGTTAGATCACTTCATAGAGATCTGGTTCATTTAGTTTTTGAACTTTTTATAAGGTTGGAGCTGTAGGAATAGAAATATGTGGATATGATTGGTCAATATCTGCCTAGATGACCTCCATTGTGTCTGCTGCTTAAAATATCCCTTATTAATCCTTTCAAGAAAATATACAGACTACACCTCTAATAGTTTCATGTAGAAAAGGTATTTAAATTAAATGAAAATGGTTTGTATTTTGGTCTATGTTGTTAAAATTTGTTGAAATAGAGAGATGATGGCATTTGGTGTGTTCATAATATCATTAATCTCTAATTCATGCTTACACTGACAAAAGTTATTTTCAGTACATGTAAGTCAAATGCTGAGATCTTATTAACATGTTTTTATTTTATTTATGTTGCAAGCTTTCCAAAAATCTGATCAACATTAATAATATAAATGTTTCTTTTTTGATAACCTTGTTCTGCTTTACTACTGTTTATCCAAGAAACGACCAACATTGTTCCAGTCAAAATCATGAAAGCATTTTACAGTTTGTCCTTCTTTACTGAGCATGTAAGCCATTAAAGTCTTTCTACACATATATTAGATATTTTCTATGGAGAAGAACATGTTAACTTGAGTGGTTTGTTTCTAGATCTTCATCTTTTTTGCTGTTGTCTATCTTAGTTATTAAGGACTGTATAAAAGAAATACCATATTTTGCTAAGTTAATTTTATATAATTTAGCATAATATCAGACAAGTAAAATGGTAAACAGTTTTAAGGTAGATTTTAGCTTAAATACTGTAACAAAATTACAATTCCGATTGTGGACAGTGAGTTAATTAATCGTAATATAACTATATGCACCAAGGAGGACACTAGGGTGAAAGAAACGTCTGGCTTTGTCAAAAACCTTTCTAGAGATCCTCACTCCTCCTGATTCATGAGCGTTTGGTTGATTCACACTCTGTGCATGACTTTTAGAAAAAAAAAAAAACTTACTTTTTTTCCTCTACATAAATCCTCTCTGTAGAACTATGATTTTTCAACTGTAGCTCTGAATTATAAAGTTTTGGAGGAAATATTACTTCA